GTGATTGTGAGCACACAGCAACGAATGCTAAGGGAGCACCAAAAAGCTGCCGTGCGACGGGAGTACGATATGAACCCTACTGAAGAGAAGCTTCCTGTCACTACAACCCCTGTGAAGATGAGCACTCGCATAACAACGGAGGTGGCACCCGACGGGTACACCGTAGCTGAGCCACAGCACGAGAATCCAAAGATCTCTTCCACAATACCACAAGAAGAGTCAGATGAGGCAAAGTCAGCAGCAGCTGATATCTCGGTAGCTGGCAAAGAAAGTCCGGAGCCTTCCTCGCTCTCAGTGTCCAAGAAATCATCGATAGAGCAGAAGCCACCCTCTCAATCAATGGAGCAGACCACCGAGAGCCCACCGGTCACAGCGACAGTGACTCACAGCGCTCACAGGCCGCCGAAGCTGAAAGACATACACTGTCGACGCTTTACTGGTGTTGAAAAGTATCCAGGACTCGGAGCCGGGGTCGAGGACTTCCAGTACGGCGTCACTGTGAAAGTTGTTCGCACAGACGGAGGTGGAGAGTTTCAAGGGCGAGAGTTTGTCGCGTTCCTCAAACGACACGGCATAAGGCAGCAACTAACACTTCCAGACAGCTCGGCCTCGAACGGCAAAGTGGAAAGGATGCACCGGACAATCATGAACGCCGGTCGTGCCATGCTGTGGGCGTCAAAGCTTCCCGAGCGTTATTGGGGTGATGCTGCCAGATACGCCTCCTACATCAGAAATCATCTTCCAACCCGAGCAAACGCAGATTTCAAAGCGCCGCTGCATGTACTGTTGGACAAACCACCCAAGGTGGGACATATTTTAAAATTCGGATCGAGCTGTACTGTTCACGTGGCGCACAAGGCAGGAGCTTCACTCAAGAAACGAGCTGAAAAGGGCATCGTAATTGGCGTCAGTGAACAGCAGAAGGGCTATCGGATTCTCATCCCACGGACGAAGAAGATCGTCGTGAGCGCGGATGTCCAGAACGTAGACAAGCTCGATGTGAGTGATAATGAGGCTAGAACAACACTAGCGGAGCTACATGGTGAGTCAGGCGCCGAAGGTAGTACTGACGCCTTTGATTCTACAAAGAAGAACTACGACGAAAATCCAGCCAATCAAGCTGGTGATCAAGGTCCGAGCGGCGCTGACGAACTGGATAATTCAAGTCCCTCTCTCCGTTCTTCAAAAGTCGGGATGGTTCTCCGCTCACAGAACCAGAAGCGCAAGAAGCAAAACTCGATCGACGCTGCAAGCGACAGTGGTGAAGACGAGTACGCTGGCAGTCCCGTCAGCGCAGCAGCCATTCGTCGTGTGTTTGGTACGCGCAAGAAGTCAAGAACCGCAGACTTCTCATTGCCCCATGACTTGATCACGGAAGTTGCCGGTTCAGCCAGCCTGATGCTAACAACCGCAATGACCAAGATGATTACCCTCAGAAATCTAACAGAAGCCATGGCGACGCCTGAGTGGCCTGAATGGAAGGCAGCAATCGAGAAGGAGCTAGCTGACCTTCAAGCGAATGGTACATGGGAAGTTGTGCGAGCTCCAGCAGGAGCAAACATGATATCGTCGAAGTGGGTATTTCGCATTAAGTTCAACAACCGAGGCGAACTCGAGCGCTTTAAAGCTCGATTAGTTGCAAGAGGTTTTACGCAGCGATATGGGATTGATTTTGACCAGACCTATTCTCCAGTACTCAAGATCACCAGTCTTCGTCTACTCGTGGCGCTTGCGGCTCTATGGAAGCGTCGGTTGCGTCAGGGCGATGTCCCGAACGCGTATGTCAAGGCTCCACTAGACCGCCCAATCCTGATGAAGCCACCTAAAGGCACCCCAGTAGCGAACGGCACAGCGTGGCTATTGCTCAAGTCACTGTATGGTCTCAAGCAGAGCGGGTTGCTCTGGAACCGGGAGATGAACGCGTTTCTACTGTCGCTTGGCTTCACTAGAAGCAAGATGGACCCATGTCTCTACTTTCGTCACTACAATAGCAAGCTGACCTTGCTGGGTCTCTATGTGGACGATGTGATTATCGTCAGTGAAGTTGATGCTGATAGTGACTGGGTAATGCGACAACTCGGCATCAAGTTCGACATTAAGGACATGGGCGTGGCTGCTAAATGTCTTGGTATCAGTATTGAGCACACCAACGACGGCATACTGCTTCACCAGCACGACACGATCGAAGAACTCCTCCGCGAAATGGGGATGGCCGAATGCAGGCCTGTCAGCACGCCCATGGACCCATCAATCGCATTCGACGACGATTTGATGATGGAGCAAACCACGATTATGAGACGGGCAATCGGGTCTCTGCTCTGGATTTCAAACTGCACTCGCCCCGATATTACTGCAGCTGTCAACTATTTGGCTCGTTTCGTTGCTCGGCCACGTCAGAGCCATTGGCAAGGCGCTAAACGCGTACTTCGTTATCTACGAGGAACGACAGCGTTTGGACTTAACTACAAGTACGGGCAAGGTGTCGGCTCGAAGGTAGCCGTGACAATCTACAGCGATGCTGACTGGGCCGGCGATAGTACCGATGCCAAATCTGTCTCCGGTGCTGTATTGATGGTGAATAGCTCAGCAATTTCGTGGGCTTCAAAGAAGCAAGCATCGGTCGCGCTGTCGACCATGGAATCTGAGTATGTTGCGGCCGCTATGGCGATGAAGGACGCTGTATGGGTCAAGCAACTACTGGTCGAACTTCGACTATGGACAGCGAAAGAAGCTGTCCTGCTGCAGGTTGACAATCAATCTGCTATCAAATCGATGACGAACGAGATGTCAAGTCCTCGAACAAAGCACATCAACATAAGGTATCATTTCATCAGAGACGTGATTCAACAGGGCGATGTGACGGTAAAATACTGCCCAACTCAACAACAGATCGCCGACATTATGACCAAGCCACTGCAGCGCATTGTGTTCGAGCGTCTACGGGATCAGCTTCACATGGTAAAAGTGGTCGATATGGCGTAGCTTTTGAGGGAGGCTGTTGCAGATGGCAAAACTCTAGCCATTTCTCCGAAACCAGCTGGCCCAAGATCTTGTGGAGGCGTCCAGCTCGAAGAAATCAAGCCACGACAAAGCTGCCAGTGTCGTGGGTGAAAAGCAGCAAGCGACTAGAAGAAGGTGGGCACCGAAGGTGTCCACAGCGAAATCAGAAGTCATGACTGGCGCTGTTGAAGATTCAGGCTGCACAAGTACCTGGCTGGTGATGGCACCAGCATCGAAGGCGGAAATGTATGTTTTCCATGTACAAGTTACTCTTTGAAGCAGGCAGAGAAGCTAGAGAGAAGCTAACCAATTTGAATTCACTTTCAGTTTTACATTCTACTACTCAGATCAACGGGTCTTCTAGCGCAGCAAATTCCTCACCGGTTTCTGAAAGTGCAAAACTTCTACCTGTACCAAGACGAGCAATGTTGCCAAGCTGTTCTCGCCCGATCTCATCCGACAACTACTGACAGCAATCGGTGTGGCTGGAGCTCAGCAACTCACAGGCATCAACGCCGTCTTCTTCTACTCGTCCTCCCTCTTCCAGCAGGCTGGCATATCGGACAACCGCATTGGAATCATTGCGGTCAACTTTGTCAACGTACTGCCGACCATGTTCTGTGGTGTGTTGGCAGCTCGCCTTGGCAATCGCAAACTCATCTTGTATGGATTAACGGGTATGTTTATCAGTGCGGTTGGCATCACTGTGTCCCTAGTTGCTAGCTTGCCGGCGCTTGCCATCGTATTCACTGCCTGCTACGTCACCACATTCGGCTCGAGTCTCGGGTCGCTGGCGTGGGTGGTTATGGCGGATCTCTTTCCGGACGACGTTCGAGCAATGGGCAACTCAATATGTGTGGGTTGTAGCTGGCTGTGCAATCTCGCGGTGGGTCTGGGTTATCCCTACATCGCCGCTGGATTGGTCAACTTCAGCTTCACGCCATTCATGTGCACAGTTCTGCTGTCTTCCCTTTTTGTGTACACGGTTGTACCAGAAACGTCAGCCAAGACGGTGCAGGAGATTCAGGAGGGGTTCACTGCGCGGCGTCTGTCAAAGAATTGACGGGGCTCAGAGGGCGAGGCTTTTGTAGTTGACGTACAAGTTCAGGAAAATATGCGACCGCAAAGTAGATGGAAGCAATGGATCAATAAATAGATTCGCGGTATCGACCTGGGGCTTGCTGGATACCAACAAGTGTACATCAAGATGCTACATGTGTTTGGCGTGATGACCAGCGGCTTCGGTTGAAATGCAGAGTTCCAGATGCGTCGCACAGACCACCATCATCCTTCGTGAACGTGCTGCCACCAACACAACCACCTGGTGAGCTATTTGACTGTACTGTTTGCCATACGACAAATTTACCTTGACATCTTCAATTTCAAAAATTAAATATACTGATAAATGTAAGCCAAAGGTTGAAGTGATATCCAGGATAATCTCAGCTGGTCGACACACCTGGTTGGCAGGCTACACGAAGGCACGTGCTAGTCTGCATATTCAGTGTCAAGCCGTTCCGCTCGAGCTCTTCTATTTCATTTATCAAATCTTCTCTGCGAATGCTGGTGCGATGTCTTAGTACCGCAAGCTACGCTCCGAGTAATCTGCGCGATCTGACCATGTTGTGTTCCATCTCATTCGTATTGATGTGTCAAGTCTCTTTTGTCATGAAGTCTCAATGCACGTGTCGTTTATTCTGTTTTACAACCGAGCGTAAAATACGCCCATTTTATCATTGCTTGTTGCGTGCTATCCTACGCGATTAAGACATCCACGACAGGTGTGGCGAGGATTCATTCGCCACTCGTTTTGCATTCTCGTGTTTTCGTGCTTATAGCGTCCTGCGCAACACCCACGACCCCGCCCAGTTGTTATTCAAAGTTTTGACCTTGGTAACACTGTTGCAGGTTCCGAAACCCAATTCGAGCCGCTGCCCACTGAACTTAATCTTTACCTGGAAAACGCGTGATTCATCTAATGCTTGATACTTAAAAACGACCTAGCTGGTGGATTTTAGGGCTCTGTCGTTTGCGACTGCAGTTGTATCCTCTAGCTTGGTACGTTTCACATCCCGCTTGTCCTCGCCTTCATGCTGTCGGATCTCTGCCACAACCTTCCTGCTCTCACCTGTTGCAGGATTTTGCTCCACCTGCGCTTTTGCCACAAACTTCGAAATAGTCGCTGAAGTCTGTCGACGCAGCACATTCTTGTGCTTTCGACCTTTGTAGTGCAGTTTTACGTCCTGCTCGCTCAACAATTGAATCTTACAGGTCTCGCAGAAAAGCTCTGACTTGCCAGTGATATTGTTTCGAGCTTTCGGGGCCTCTCGTTCAGTATTCTCGGCGTAGCGATCATGTGCGCCTGGTAAAGTTGTCAGTGTCTCGGAGGTCGGATCCTCCGTATTCTTGCTCTTTTCCAACGCCGTCGCCTTCGCCCGGAACTGATCCTGATACTGGTTATAGTAGTTCTGAAGATCCCAGAGCGAGTACATTTGTAAGCCGTTGCGTGTTGCAGCCAGGTCCGGAACGGTAACAACGTGAGCATCCTTTGCATACCCGTACTTGTTACCGCTTGCGTACGCGTCCTCCAATGAGCTCGGAATCATACGCATCACGTTGTACTTGGTGTTCTGGAACACATTATCCACCTCCGCAGCAGCCTTCAGGTACTCGCGCACCACTTGATCAATTGGTAAGCGACCTTCTTTCCGGAAAATCGACGGGTTCGCTAGTGCGCCGCGAGCGATGAGGAAAGAAGACGCACCGGAAAGTTTGCGAAGTTTATTGATGTCTTCGTGCATGAACACATCGCCGTTAGCAAGTACAGGAACAGACAGCGCCGACACAACAGGCGCCAATCGGTCCCAGCTGGCCTTGTCGTGAGGACGCTCGTGGGTCTGCCGCATGTGCACACCGACTGCGCAGGCTCCAGCGTCTTCGAGACGTCTAGCCAAATCGACCTGGGAAGGGATAGTAGTTAGTATGTGACGCTCGTCAGATAAAATTCAGTAAATCGTACCGTGTCTTGGATTTCTGGCAGCAGTCGAATCTTGCAGGACACCGGGATGTTCAGGTTCCGACGCAGTGTTTTCATAATCTTCATAAACAAATATAGTTGAACGCTCGTTAGAAATGCAAGAAAAAAATATCTGAGTGAGTAATTGCTTACATCGCAAGCCACTTCGGGCTTCCGCAGTAGCGCTGCTCCCATACCTCCTTGGACGGAGAAGTGTTTAGGACAGCCCATGTTAATATCCACAGCAGCCACGTCGCGGGCTCTGTAATACACATGAAACAGCAATTAGACACTTCCAAAATATGAGAGATCAAGGCCAAAACTCACACTGCCTCCGCTGCCTTGAGTGCAAGCACTGCGTCGGCGGTTCCGATCTGGAAAACCACCTTTCCAGCCTCTTCCGAGCATGTGCGGAACACGACGGAGTCGCCATTGCGACTCACGAAGTCCACTGCATTGACGACATCTGAAGAATTGATACAAGTGAGCGAAAAGTTAATGATAAGTTGCCAGCTTATTTAAATAGCTAGTCGCACCGTTAGGCACACGAACTGCCGAGATGATGCGCTTGTCAATGATCTCCTCGCCGTACACGAGATCGGCTCCATAGCGCAGCGACAGTAAGCGCAACGGCAATGTGCCCTGAATAACATGTGGTTAAAAGTGGACTGGACATTGTGAGTAGCAAAATGGAGAGGATCCTACCGAGCGGACCATGGGCGACAGGCACACCTTGTTCGCGTACAGCTCCGACATGCTGGCGATTTGAGTGGAAGGAAATGTAAAACACGTAACAGAGTGTTTTTTTGTGTGGCCAAATTTGGAAGCTTTTCATTGGCTGAAACTTGAATTGACTTTGTCTTTCATCCAATAAGGAGGTCGCAATAGTTGACAATTTCATATTCGTTGGAAATTGTTGGTTGTTGAAGCCATCACCTTGAAGTGAAGCAAGGTAACAACGTCCGTTGTGTTAATGTATTAATAGGGAACGCTCACTCCGTTGGTAAATATAAATGGAGCTGCATCAGTTTTTGGCTTGCTGCTGTCTCGAAGAGGCTCGCGTGAGCAGCGTCAGCGTCAAGCTTCCAGTGGGTCTTACAAAGGTTTGACGCGGCAGGCAACCATGCGAAAGTACCGGTTAGTGGCCAAGAAAGGGGAAGGCACATTTTCCGAGGTGCTTAAGGCCCAGAACGTCAAAGATAACAAGTTCCATGCCATCAAATGCATGAAGAACCACTTCGAGAGCATCGACCAAGTGAATAATCTACGTGAGATCCAGGCACTACGGAGGCTGTCGCCTCACCAGCATATCGTCAAACTGGAAGAAGTACTGTACGACCAGCCATCGGGTCGGCTAGCACTGGTCTTCGAGCTGATGGATGCCAACCTGTACGAAATGATTCGCGGCAGACGACACTATCTCAAGCCCGACCTAGTACAATCGCTCATGTACCAACTCGTTAAGTCGCTCGATCACATGCATAACAAAGGCATTTTCCACCGCGATATTAAGCCCGAGAATATCTTGGTAGAAGATAGTACCAAGCTCAAACTGGCCGATTTTGGGTCCTGTCGAGGCATTTACTCCAAGCAACCATACACGGAATACATCTCCACGCGGTGGTACCGCGCACCCGAGTGCTTGCTCACTGATGGCTACTACGGGCCGGAAATGGACATTTGGGGTGTCGGTTGTGTTTTCTTCGAGATCACATCGCTCTACCCGCTCTTCCCTGGCTCCAACGAACTCGACCAAATCCACCGTATACACAAAGTTCTGGGCACTCCATCGTCGGAAGTGCTCGAGATCTTTAGGCGTAAGGGAGCTGCTCATGTTGATTTTAACTTCCCCAGAGAGGAAGGAGCCAATATTGCTAAGCTCATCCCGCACGCATCTCCTGCGGCTATCGATCTTATGAACAAAATGCTGGCATACGACCCGAGTAAGCGCATGAACGCACGAGAAGCGTTGCGGCATGAGTATTTTCGGGAAATCCGCGATCTCGAAGAGGCTACTTTACGGGCGCAGCAGCAACAAGCTCAACACGTTATTCAACCACAACAACATCCTTCGGTTGGACTCTCTATGGCCTCCAAGCAACGCAAAAGCAACGACAATTCAGATGATAAGACACCATTGCCGTCAATCCAGAATGGGTAAGTTATAGTTTGCTTGCATGCCTGCTGAGGATACACCGAGCTAACTTTGCTGTTGTTTTTGTGAAGATCACATGGACCACAGGCTCTGACCGACACAAAAGACTATGCACACGATGCAAGCGAAGACGAATTACCGCCGATCAACAACGTCGCGGGTGGAAGAGGAATGGGTGGCGTCACTCATGTCAAAACCCGCAAATATTCCTTTAGCAGTAGGAACGTCAACAACAACAAAACCAGCGAAAGCAGTTTTGGAGGAGGGTCAATTTATTCTGGAGGCATATCCAAAGCGTCGAAAGGGGGACACACGAATGGAGGCAGCACGAACCGATCCACATACCACCAGGAAATTAAGACCCGCAAGAACGTGGCCAATGTGGCGCTGAAGAAGGGATTTTCGTCCGCGCGAAACAAAAAAATCGTAGGCGCTTCTGCTGCTTATGCAGACGCCTCCGCTGTGTACGCTGAAGTCTCAGGTAGGGGCTATCATCCAATGCAACATCAACGTTGATATTTTTTGTCGTCCCGTGCGTACTGAACGAACAGCGGTGCACTGTCGTGACTGCAGGGCCCAAGTCGCGACACAAGTAGCGCTAACTAAATTGTGCAATAAAACAACAATTATTTGGAAACCAGAAGCTGTCTTAACCGGTATTCTGGGTGGTTTACGTCATCGAGCCAGCGGTAAATACCGCTGGCTCGATGACAAGAAAAGACAAGAAGACAAGCGAAGTTTTTAGCAGGATGAACATGTTCGGGGCGCGTACGTCGCCGCAGTGGAACATGGCGACGATGATGAAGACCAGTGGCATCACGGAGGACGTGCAGCAGCATCTGGTCCGTGTGTACGCGACGCTGGCGGCCTGTGTGCTCTCTGCGATGCTCAGCGCGGCCGTCACTCTGGCAATTGGACCCGAGCGCTTTGCGCTCATGGGCTCGTCGCTGGTGTCGACGCTGGGCTCGATCTGGCTATACATGGAGCCCGTGCAGAATTACAAGAGACGTTTCGGTATCCTCATGATGATATCGGCAGCCATGGGTCTTACTGTGTCAACGCTCGTCGCTGTGGCTATCCAAGTGGACCCCAGCATTCTCGTCTCGGCCCTGTAAGGCTGTCGTAAATGAGTGCGGTGTAGAAGTTAGAGGCTAATTGGGTGTGGCTGTGTGATTGCAGGCTGTTGACGACGCTGGTGTTCATGTGCTTCACGGGGAGTGCGCTAATCGGTGGGTGGAATTGCTGGAGCTGATGGCGATTTGAAGACTTACTTGTTTGGTGTTGATGCTGCAGCTACTCGCCGCTCTTACTTATACCTGGGAGGCATCCTAAGCTCGGCACTGTCGGTGCTGTTCCTCACGAGCGTATTCAGCATCTTCAAGTACTCAACGTTCCTGTTTAACTTGAACCTGGTACGACCCCGCAGATGCAGTTGGGAAAAGGATTTGGAACTACTGTAACTGGTGTGCTAATTTGTTGATGGTATTTGCTGTTAATTGTTGCTACAGTACGGCGGGCTCTTCATGTTCTGCGGCTACGTGGTGTTCGACACGCAGATGATCATCGAGCAGGCCAGCATGGGCGACAAGGACGTGCTCAAGCATACGCTCTCCCTTTTCATGGGTACGTTTTTTTCTGAACAGGGTTTTGATCGGTATGAAGGTGCTCATATTTACTTTGGGTTGCAGACCTAATGTCCATTTTCGTGCGCATCCTTGTCGCGCTACTGAAGAAGAACAACGGTGGCAGCAAGCCCCGCAGCAACCACCGCGACTAAGAGCGATCAAGTTGATCACAACTTGGAACGATGGAATGCATTTTAAGTTTTTTTGATATACTGCGAGGTAATACACGTAACTTACATGATATTAATATCAAACTTCATCGTAACAATGCTCGCAGAATGAATGTTACACTTTGAAGACACGTCATCAGAACATTCTGGAGTAAGAAATGTGTACCACATCACTTTACGGGTATCTTCCGAAGGGGGGAATTTCTTCCCATTTCCAAATAGTCACAAGCGCGAGCCTCAAGGTGGGTCAATTTCCTTTGCAACTACGAAGCTGCAGTATGATACATCTGCTCCCAAGCGTGCCTGTCGTCTTCTACGCTTCATTTCCTGCCCAATGATCCCGTTTCGAGCGTATGGAGATCTCCGGAAGCGGAGGAAGACAGGAAGATCTTAATGAATTTATAACTAACGTATTCGCTCTATTCCTCCAGAGCTGCGTTTGATTTGGATCAATACCCAAGCGACCAACAAAAAGAGCTCCGAACATGGGTGACAAGTACGTCACATCGCTCGACATCTAAATGTAGCCATGTTTCTTACTCTATACATGCAGGAAGGAAGAGTTCAAGGCAGGTATTATGGACCGCAAGCGGTCGCCGAACCGTCTGGTGGTTGACGAGGCCACAAACGATGACAACTCGGTCATTGCTTTGAGCATGGCGAAGATGGAGGAGCTACAGCTCTTTCGCGGCGACACGGTGCTTATTAAGGGCAAAAAGGGACACGACACTGTCTGTGTGGTGTTGCAGGACGAGACAGTTGACGACAACAATGTCCGTATGAACAAGGTGGTGCGTAAGAACCTGCGCGTGCGTCTGGGCGACGTCGTGGGCATCCACACGTGCGGCGACGTGCCCTACGGCAAGCGCATCCACGTTCTACCAATTGACGACACGATCGAGGGTGTGTCAGGCAACTTGTTCGACGTGTACCTTAAGCCCTACTTCGTAGAGGCCTACCGTCCCGTCAAGAAGGGTGATCTCTTCCTTGTGCGTCAAGCGATGCACCCTGTGGAGTTTAAGGTCGTGGAGACGGAGCCTGCTCCGTACTGTATCGTCGCTCCGGACACAATTATCCACTGTGAGGGCGAACCAGTGCGTCGTGAGGACGAAGAGAAGATGGACGAGGTCGGATACGATGATATCGGCGGCTGTCGGCGTCAGATGGCTCAGATTCGAGAGATGATTGAGCTGCCTCTGCGTCACCCGACGTTGTTTAAAACACTGGGTGTCAAGCCTCCGCGTGGTGTGCTGCTGTACGGTCCTCCGGGCTCTGGTAAGACGTTGATCGCTCGTGCTGTAGCCAACGAGACTGGCGCGTTCTTTTTTCTGATCAATGGCCCCGAGATCATGTCCAAGATGGCTGGAGAGTCTGAAAGTAACCTGCGTAAAGCCTTTGAAGAAGCCGAGAAGAACGCCCCGGCTATTATCTTCATCGATGAGATCGACTCGATCGCCCCGAAGCGTGAGAAAACCAATGGAGAAGTGGAACGTCGTATTGTGTCGCAGTTGCTGACGCTTATGGACGGACTGAAGCAACGCGCCAGTGTCGTGGTGATCGGCGCAACGAACCGTCCCAACAGTATGGACCCTGCTTTGCGTCGCTTTGGACGCTTCGACCGTGAGATTGATATTGGCGTCCCGGATGAGAACGGACGTCTCGAGATCTTCCGTATCCACACGCGTAACATGAAGCTGGACGACGATGTGGACCCGGAGATGATTGCTCGTGATACGCAGGGCTTTGTGGGAGCCGATATGGCGGCGCTGTGCACGGAGGCGGCCCTGCAGTGTATCCGCGAGAAGATGGATGTGATCGATATTGAGGACGAGACTATTGACGCCGAGATCCTGGATGCTATGGCTGTCACTCAGGCCCACTTCAAGTACGCGCTGGGTGTGTCCAACCCGTCGTCTCTACGTGAGACGACGGTGGAGGTGCCGACAGTCACGTGGAAGGACATCGGTGGACTGGAGAGTGTCAAGCGCGAGCTGCTGGAGCTGGTACAGTACCCCGTGGAACACCCGGAGAAGTTTGAGAAGTACGGACTCAGTCCGTCCAAGGGTGTTCTCTTTTATGGTCCGCCTGGTTGCGGTAAAACGCTGCTGGCTAAGGCTGTGGCTAACGAATGCCAAGCCAACTTCATCTCCATTAAGGGTCCGGAGCTATTGACCATGTGGTTCGGTGAGTCCGAAGCTAACGTCCGTGAGGTGTTCGACAAGGCTCGTGGTGCTGCTCCCTGTGTGCTGTTCTTTGATGAGCTAGACTCGATCGCGCAGCAGCGTGGCAGCAGCTCGGGTGATGCTGGAGGCGCTGGCGACCGTGTGATGAACCAGCTTCTAACAGAGATGGACGGTATGGGTGCTAAGAAGAACGTGTTCATTATCGGAGCCACGAACCGCCCCGACATTATCGACCCCGCTCTCATGCGTCCTGGCCGTCTGGATCAGCTTATTTTCATCCCCATGCCGGACTTTGAGTCGCGTCTAAGCATTCTGCGCTCGGTGTTGCGTAAAAGTCCCGTGTCCAAGGAGGTAGACCTGAACTTCTTGGCTCAGCAGACGGACAAGTTCTCGGGCGCTGATCTGACGGAGATCTGCCAGCGTGCTGCCAAGCTGGCGATCCGTGAGAGTATTGCCCGTGACATGGAGCGCGACCGCCTCCGTGCCGAGGCTGGGGACGAGATGGAAGATATCGAGGAGGAGGACCCGGTGCCTGAGATTACGCCGCGCCACTTCGAGGAGGCCGTGCGCAACGCGCGCCGCTCGGTCAGTGACCGCGACTTGGCTCAATACTCGACCTTCGCACAGACGCTACAGCAAGCACGTTCGCATGTGACTGCGGGTGGAACTTCGTTAGCCAACTTTTCGTTCCCTGGCCGTAACGTCAATGCTGGTGTTGCCGGTGGTGCTGCCGACGCTGCTGCCGAAGAGGACGAGGAGGATCTCTACAGCTAAGCGATATGTATCTGGCAACGTGTACTAGCAGCAAGAACCGAGGGAGAGTCGATTATCAGGGTGAAGAGGTTCTAGAGCGAGTGCGAGCAGGAAATGACTTCTAATACACTATTGCCATGCTTGTTGAATCAACAATACAGGTAATGCTGACGCTTTTTTTTACTGTAGTACTCGGTGGTAGCTACTGTACAACGTATTACTACTAACTATCCACTATTGTAGTACTAAAGTAGTACGATGCACAGTACCTAATTGCACTTGTATTACGAAGTACAACATGTAGCTTGATACAGTACTGTTGGATTCTACTACACGTAGACAACACTACATTGTAGTATCCGTTTTACTGTTTTTTTATGGGAGCTCGAAAAACTAGTAGTACTAATGTATTACTTTGATTTAAAAACGACTAATATTATTACAAGAGCAGCAACGGCAACTACTACTACTAATATCATCTGCTGCTATTACTACTTCGAAGTCAATGGCTTTCACTCGGGTCCGAAGAGTTTCAGCGAATAGCCATGTTGATGAGATTTTCCCGGAGTACCGAGCCCTCGCCGAAGCGGCTGAAGCTCACTGATATGAAAGAGATGTTGCTCTCGAACACCTTGGTGACATGGAGCTGCAGAACGTTGTATGGCAATTCCTTCAGCTCGGTGAGTCTTGTCCCGAAAGAAGACGAGAGAAAAGAAGAGTGCCATCAAATCGTTTGGGAAGAAGGAGCCCCTGTGATCCCAGTCGTGCTGCTCAATGAAGTGTTTGCACGTTTTGATGCCAACTGCAAATCGATTGAGCTGACTTCCTCAGACATACCATTCGTGTTGGAACTGTGCAGCAAGCTGTCGACTCCATTCTACAGCGAAGACGAATTTGCGTCAAAAGCTCTTTCGTTACTGAGCAAGTATCTGTTCCCTGACGTCCCGATCCGATCGAGTTTAGTATCGGATGGATGTTCGTGCTACAAGTCCAGGTTACTGATAAATGTGAAGTTTCAGAAAGGAAAAGGCGAAAATCTCCCGACGATGCACAACATTGGTTGCTACATCCACGCTCTTCCAGACCCGGTCGACTGTCAAGTGCCTTCGTTCCTTTTGGACTTCTCGGGAACACTGCTGAGTGTATCCGGCGTCGTTAATGTCGGGGCAGATAAGCTGGTGTGCGATCCGCTGTCGGCAGGTTTTCCTTTGTTTCTATTCGAAAACGATGATCTGCTATTAGGTCTTGCGCGGATGTGTGCTTCACTGAAGGTTGCCTTTAAAGAGCTTAGCGCACTAATCAGCAGCAACTCGGAAACACTGAAGCCACCGATGGATCAGCTTCAGTTTCCGTACAGGAGATCCTACATGAACGCTGGCGTTATTACTAAGTTCACCTATAAGAAGCGTATTCTCAACTTAACATTCGAGGCTGAGACGGAATCTGGTATCGCGATTATCGTTAAGTTTTCTCGAACTTATGGAAAGGAGGTGCATATCCATTGCGCGAACGCTGGTGTAGCTCCGGCACTTTTACATTGCGAAGTCTTGGTAAATGGTTGGAGATTTATCGTGATGGAGAAGCTTAACAGCGTGCCTTTGATGGATATCCTTCAAGAAAAGGGCATAGCAAGGAAGGTGTTGGAGCCGAAAATACGCCGAATTGGCGAGGTTCTCCAGCAAAAGAATTTTGTGCATGGCGATTTACGTCTGTCAAATTTGTTGTGGGAGGAAGAACAAAGCGAGTTGAAGATAATCGATTTCGACTGGGCCGGCAAATATGGGGAGACTGTGTACCCACCATTTCTAAACACCGGGGGTCTCTGGTCGGACGGCGTTGGCCCCGGCAACGCTATTCAACCTGCTCATGACGAGTACTGGATCGAATTGTTACTGGAGCTGGAGGAGGTTTTCGAGTAGTATGTAATTTGCTGTCAGTGTCAAGCTTACTAAGGACCTTTGTTTTCAGGCCGATGCTATTATAGCTTTTTTCACTCGGTAATGATTTTTGTAGCTTTTTAAAAATGCTTTTTAAAGCTTAAAAATAATTTGACAGTAAACTTAATGTTTTCCAAGCCTAGAAGGAGAGGAGACGGAGACGGATCTCCTTCAAAAATAGGGAGATGAAAAACCTCGAGAGATCATCTCTCAAGGTTTTAAATCTCCTCTCTCTCGCATTTAAGCCGAGAGAGACGAACTTAATCGGAGCGAAAAACTCCCTGATCTCCTTGATATCTACTTTCTGCCTCTGGGTTGGATGATTTCTGCATTTATTTCATTGGTTAAAATGCGATCAATGCCTCCTAAGTTTTAGATGACTGCACATAACGTTTTACTGAGGAGACGTCGCTGGCATTCCTCTCTCGTAATGGCGTCCCCGAACAGTGAAGACCTCGTGGTGTATGACGAAGAATCACGCGCGAACGTATCCAACCACAGGCTACAAATGGCGATTGCACACGTATCAGCGCAAGCACAAGATATCGCTGAGTGTCAGCTACAGCTTCACACTAGCCAGCAGCTTCAAGCTCAGCAGCAGCAGTACACCGAGTCCCGTGTTCAACAAGCACGCGATGAAGCCGAACAAAGAACCCTGGCGCTGGCTGAAAAATATTCGCTCAACTCAAATAGACCCGACTGCTATCGAGCAGCACGTAAACACACAGCTACAGTCCGCAATTGCTGCAGCTAACGACGTCGCTCAGGCCCAAGCACGAGCTACCGTCGAAGCTCATGCTGTACACCAAGCACATGTAGCTGACGTCCGTATGACGGAGACAATCCAGCGTCTTCAAGAACAGCTTTACGCCAGCATGGAGCAGTGCGTACAGGACGTTCTAAAAGCTCATGTAGAACAAGTGAGTGCAGAAATCCGACTCACAGTGGCAGCACAATGTCGGGAAATCCTAAAAGGTGTTGAAGAACAGATTAACGCTATTAAGAAGGATACTACAACAGTGATGGAGCAGACAAAAACTGCTGCGGAAAAGAAAGCCAAGTCGATTGTTCGACGACACTACGCAGAGGAAAACGCAGCTCACGAGAAAATAGAAGCGAAACTATTGCAATCATTCGAAGATTACAAGCAAACGACTGTAGCTACTGCTCTATTGCGTGTAGATGAACTTCTTCGAGCATTCGTTTCCCAGCAAACTGTTAAGGTGATCGACGTCAAAAGTCAAGTTGTTGCGCAGCATGGAAGTAGCGCGGTACGAGATAAGCGATCAGGTGGCGAAGACAACGCAATAGATCGTGCCACGTCCTCGATGCCCCCAGCAATAGTTGTAGCTTCTATGTCGCTTGATGAAGAGAAGGAGATGCACATCAGCAACGTTCATATGGGCAAACTAAATGGAAGTAATCGGGCTAAGCTGTCCGAAGATGCGCAGGAACTACACAAACTAATGCGGTATCCTAAGCCGACTTGCGAACAAGACATCAAATTAAGTATCGATCTGCAATCTGTTCGCCGATCCGAGCAACAAAAGGTTGTTGCGCGTGCGTTGGCGAGGTCTCGGGGTCTAAAAACCAATACTACGAAGCCCAGTTCACTACCAAAAACAAGCTCACGAAGACTTCCACTCCAGACGATAGCCCGTAGAGCGAACCAAGAGCATCGCCTCTCTGAAGAGAGAAAAACAATGAAAAAATTGAGAGCAGAGGAGTCATTGCAACTTGTAGAATTCTTGTTTGATTATGCGAGTCACTAAGCTCAGACAGACGAGGAAATTAGGACAAGAAGATATACTAATGGGTAATAATGACATGGCTAAATCTTATATGTAATATTCAGTTGTCTACGTCGCCGTGTCTTCAATATCTTCCTCACTGTCACTTGAAAAGTACCCGCTCAGCAACTCACAACCCTCTGCGTCGTCTTCCTCCATTCCCACCTTGACATTCGACGGAATAAACTTGTCGATGTCACGTACGTGAATCTTTGGACACTGCGTCACATCCACGAACTGCCTGTTGCAGTTTAGAAATGCCGACATATCCACATTATGAGGTGCTATGGAGCCTCGTTGCGGGGTTACCAGCTGCCCCGCTGTTCCAAAGTCGCGTTCGATTTGAGCGGAAGAAGAAGGGATTGCGAACAAAATCCGTGCTACGAGTGGAAGAAACTTGTATGTACCAGACTCTGCTTGACGTTTCCAGAACTCTAGTATGGTCTCAGGGCGACTGCCATTGATCTGGAGAGAGGTAGGGGCTGTTTCCCATCTCTCCAATTCTTCGTCAATACGAGTAGAATTTAGATCTTGGGTAGACTCAGGTTCGGTTGGATCTGTGTCGATAACATCGGCAAATAGCTTCATGAGGTCCTCGGAGAAAAGCGTTGAAGGTGCCGGAGACTGATCATCAACTGGTGGGGATGGCCGTACTTCCTCCGGGGCAGCCACTGCCACCATAATCGACCGGACCTTGTCATAAATCGTCTTTTTAATCTTGGTGAAGTGTCGATCCCCTGCTGCTGTGGCGACGCCACTCGAATCAGCATTTCACAACTGAATAACCCGCTTGAGAAACCCGTCGAAACCTTTAAAGTTGGGGTGCAGGAAGAGCTGCATCTCCAATACAAATGAGCACTTGATAAAAAAATTTCGGTCCGTGTAGCGCGAGAAAAATCGCTTATGAAAAGCGTCGTGAACAAGCGTGCGTGTGTTGGATGCTAGAAGTGTAAGATCCTCAGGTCGGAAGGCCATTGGGCGCTCTTTAGTAGAGCGAAAATCACGAAGCGCTTTTGAACTGTCCAGGACGGTGACCCGCAGCTTATACAAAGTCAATAGAACCTCAACTTGATTTGCACTTTCAGCCTGGGCCTTAGTGCTTATAGACGTTATAGGTTGTAAAATCGACAGGATTTGAATGAGGTTTTGATAATCCCGCTCCAATGGAAATCCGGCAGGAAGACTGGCACGTTCCTTTCGCGCCTTGTCAAGTCTCTCAGCATACCACGTCACTAGAGGCTCCCATAGGTTAAGAATTCGTCTGATGACACGCGTGAGGCCCAAAAATCGATGTGCTCGATAGTCCAGCAGCTGATGGGGGGATTGCTTACTCTTTCCAAAGACGCAAAGCTCTTCAAAAAGTGTACCCATAACTTCAACATGCTTGACTGTGTAGACGGTCTTGACGATGCGGCGAGTCAAATCTGTCATGGCGGGGTTTTTAGATTTGGACGCGTCCGCTACCATACCACATGCAATCTTAGTAGCCGCATTGGTCATGTGCGGTATACACCATTGCCAGTTTAGCTTTAGACCCTCCTGCATCATCCATTTCACGTCGGATCCAGCATCTGACGTGGCGCCAAACAAGTCTCGACGGGACAGACCAAAGTCGCGTAGAATTTCACCGATCCAGCGCTGAAATGGGCCGCGGATACCGCCTTTGCGCTCACCGTACTGTGGATTAAAGTGACGTGTTCCGAGGAGTATCGACTTCAGCTGAAAGCTCTCGTCGATAAAATATAGCCGCAATCCGAGATACTTTGTAGTTTGTACTTTCGAAGTTCAAAAATCGCCTACTACTGTGAGCATTGGAGCTCTTCCAATACGAACCGCAATCCAAATCAGCTCGATTGCCCTCTTAGTTGATGCATACAGCTCCACGATACAGTGACTGACGATCTTCCCATTAATTATGGCTTGCATTCCATCCTTAAAGACGAGCTCACGAATCGAGATAGATTCGTCGTATTCTCCAAGGCGGTAGGGAAGATTATTGTTAACTATACGCAGCGTTTCCATGAGAACATAAACCCGTGCTGGGTCGTCGCGAAATAACTGCGAGGTACGAACACGATCGAGTTCTTCGTCACGAAATCGTCGCTTCTCCTGGCTGGCTTCAGTCCGCTCTGAGGTTACATCGTGAGCTTTCTTCAAATGCTTTGTGGCAGCTGACGTCTTGCCACTGGACAGTGGGAATGATACCGCACTCTCACGGCAAACATCGCCGGCCAAGCACATCCAAATAGCCGGCGAAGCAACATCGGCTTCCGTTGACGGGTTTTCCGGGGCTTTGATTAGGCGAACACCATAGGAAAAGATGATAGACTTCTCATTTCGTCGTGGAGGAAGAACGACAAACCCCTCAGGTGGCTCAAAAGAGTTTATAGCATCTCGGATGCCTGGGGGGGAAGAATGCATTAATACGCGAGAAGCTCAAAACGTTCAGCTGCTGATCTTGCGATTTTGAACGCTCACAGCAAATAGAGTAGTGAGGCGCTGGGCGCGCAAAGAATCAAGCTCGGCGTCAAGATATGCTTGTGGTACGTGCTCGGAAAGACCCTGCCACCCCCTAGACAAAACAAGAGCTCTATGCTAACGTATCTACGTAGAAAATTGCAAGAAAATGATCCTTCTTTGACGCAAGTTTAGCGACCTTTTAGGGATGATCGCCAGTAGTAAAACAATGGAAGGAGAACACATTTTGACCAATCCAAAAGGGAGACAACGACGAGTTTCGTTGCCTTTCTCCGTCTGAAGAAGATTCCGTGTTACTAAAGACTGCTCAAAGGAGATCAACCTCTGGAGATCGTGGTTTCATCTCCAATTTTTGGAGTTTGACGACAATCCCGGTAAAATCGCCTCCCACTGGACACGAGAGACGGTAATTCCAGTGAAACTGCCTCCATATGAGGCGTCTCCTCGGAGGCTTGATGTTTTCTTAAACATCTAAAATGGCGCTTTGACTTGTTAAAAATATAATTTGAGTTTACAGTAGCAATATTAAAACCGGTATTCCGAGGCTCATCAAAAAAAATAAAGTACTGACAGTAAGTACGGGTCCCTTGGTATTTTATCCTTCCAATTCGATTGGTTGTTTTGCGGTAGTCGGCGAACGTACCATACAATAGGTACATCTCGTGTCATCACTACAACCGGCGACATCAACAGAGAAAAACCGATCACAAGCGGCGCGCTAGGAGCTCTGTCTGCAAGCCTTCTCACGTGCCCCACCGTGCCTTGTTCAAGGCGCAGACCTCGCATCGTGTAGAGAAAATCGCAAGCTTTTCGCTGGTGTAGTGATTTGTCACAATGGGCAACGCCGCGCCGCGCGCACAGCCGCAGAGCGTGCTGGACAGTGCGTCACAGTACCGCACCTTCCTCATGGATTACACCCCTCGCTCGATGGATATGATGTTCGGAAGTTTGATTGGAGACGGCAAGTTCCTCAAGAGCATCTCTTGCAAGTGTGACGAAGGGCATTTAGTGGTCAAAATCTACCGTAAATACGACGAACGCGAGTCCTTAACTAGCGCTGAGGTGGCGCTGCGTCGTCTGGCACTCGCGTTCTCCGTGGAGCAGCAACCCAATGTGATCCCATACGCAGACTTCCAGCTGTCGAACAAGTACAACGTGGCCTTCATGGTGCGTCAATACTTCGCGTCGAATTTGTACGACCGCATCTGCTCCAGACCGTTCCTGACAATGGTAGAGAAGAAGTGGATCGCTTTCCAGATATTAAGAGCACTGGAGCAAAGTCACGCCAAGGGCATCTGCCACGGAGATATTAAACAGGAAAACGTCATGGTGACGAGCTGGAATTGGGTCTTTCTGACGGATTTTGCGCCGTTTAAACCGACCTACATCCCCGAAGACGACCCCGCCGACTACAATTACTACTTTTGTGCTATCGACGCTACTCGACGTGGCTGTAGTGTGGCACCTGAGAGGTTTTACGGTAAAGGATCTGTGTCGATGAGTGGAGCAACGGGCTCAACGCCAGGGACTGGAGGGATCAACTCCATGAAGACACCTGATGCTGCGATGATGTTGTCTAAGATGGCAGATAGTGAAGTGACAGTGGAAGAAGTGGACAAACAGATTCTGGCGATGGGGTTGGGCAGTGGAACCATGGCAGGAACCCCCATGCAAACGCCTCCTTCGACGACGTCCACTGGTAGCGCGCCGTCGTCGTATTCTCGCTCCCGTCGTGAAGGCAGCTTACTAGAATCGATGGATATTTTCTCGGCTGGGTGTGTGATCGCTGAGCTCTTTTTGGGCGGCAAACCTCTCTTCGATCTGCCATCGTTACTTAAGTATCGTACGGGAGACGCAGAAACGCTACGACAACGACTAAAGAAAGTAGGTGACCCACGTCTGGAAGAACTGCTTCTTCATATGTTGCAATTAGATCCGACGGCTCGATTGTCGGCTAGTGGATATCTGGCCAAGTACACGAGTGCAAGTGGCCTTTTCCCGACATATTTCGACAATTTTCTGTTCCGATTTCTCGTCTTGGTGCTCAGTCGTGGTGGCAAAGTGCCTGATGCGCGTATTCGACTAGTGTGCAAGTACTATGGGCGATTAGTACGTGAGATTGCAGGTGTTGAAGACCCAGAGGGGGAAGAGTTTTTCAAGTTACGGTTAAAGGAAGGCTACGGCTCGGACCGCCTAGCGACGGCCACGGGAGGTGATCAGCAAACACATGTGGCACAGCGTGTACTTGAGGAACTGGAGCAGAAGATCCCTACGAAACATGACAAGCAGAAGGCGGAGCGAGACAACGCTGCACTCACGAAGTTGCAAAAGATGAAGGAGAAGGAGAACGACATGCGTGGTCTGAGCTCCACCTTGCAGAAGAAGAAGATCGAGAAGCTCCACGACCAGTTTAATGCTCTTAACCACAAGAAGACCAACTCGCTGCTGCTTGACTACGCTCGCGATCCGTCCACAGGTCGGTTGGATGAAGAAACGTCGGAGGATGTAGAAGGAAAAGACGAAGACGCAATGAGCTTGAACGGATCGTCCATTAAGAGGAGTACGGCTACTCCCCCACCCCATTCGAGCAAACCACGACGTATGAAGCCACCGACGTATCCTGGCAGCGAGCCGTGGCCACAAGATCGTAACGGTATTGTTATCGTTTTGTCGCTCATCTGCTCTAGTCTTCGGCATGTTCAAGTGCCGGAATCCAAGCTCACGGCGTTGTATCTGATACGTGCGCTGGGCCAGTTTACAAGTGATGAAGCGCGACTGCAGCGTCTGATTCCGTACCTTCTCGAGGTTATTGACGACCCCAGTGCTACTGTCCGCGCTTTGGCACTCCGTACCATCACGTACTTGCTGTCTCTGGTGGAGTCTTTCCCGCTTGCTGACGCCTCGGTGTTCCCGCAGTATGTGCTACCTGCTATGGTGCCTTTCCAGTCCGATCCGGATGAGTTGGTGCGCATCACATTCGCCGAGTGTTTGCCTCAATTGGCGGAGACTAGTCGCAGGTTCTTGGAGATCGCGCATGCTATGAAACAAAAGACACTGACGTCGTCGGGCTCTGCTGCTGCTATGTCTAACCGAGGCACTGATTCGCTAGCCCCCAGCACGCTGTACATGGCGTCCAGTAGCTTCGATAAGGAGCTGAGTGTACTGCACAAGATGATCTCTCGCTTTGTGATCCAACTGACGACTCCTGATCAAAAAGCCTCGTCGTCTCTTGTCAAGCGTGCACTGCTCGTTGATATTACGAGGCTATGTGTCTTCTTTGGCCAAGAACGAACACTGGACGTGGTATTGCCACAGCTTATTACTTTTCTGAACGATCCAGACTGGGAGCTACGTGGAGCTTTCTTCGACTACATTGTCGGCGTCTGCTCCTTTGTGGGACCTGTAGCTGTGGAGCACAACATTTTGCCGTGTATTGAGCAGGCTCTGTTTGATGTACAGGAGATCGTCATCACCAAGGCGGTGGAGTGTCTGACTGGACTGTGTCAGCTCGGATTGTTCCAGAAGAAGATCAGTACATTGGTGGAGAAGGCTCGTATGACGTGCTCACTGCTGTTGCATCCTAGCTGGTGGATCCGGGACGCCGTCTTGAAGCTGATGGGGGAGATTGCGTTGAAGCTGCGTAGTGTGGATGCCAACGTCTTCCTAAGTCCGCTGCTACGTCCGTTCTTGCGCAAGACGATGGTGTTTCTACCCGATGAAGAGGTCTCGGCTGTCACCAAGCGACTTCGAGATTGCTGCCGTCTTCATGTGTCCCGGGAGACGTTCGATCGCGCGCTGTTGGCGTCCTCGTCTTCGTCAGGACTTCATGAGGTTATTGCCGAGATGGAGAGATCTGTATCACAAGTTCCTGAAGACAGCGACGACGATATGACCCCGCCTGCGCCTCTGACGGCCATGACGACGACGTCGCGGGAGTCTTTGGAGGAAATGGTGAGCGATATCTCCACGTCGCGTAAGAACAGAGACGTGCTGCTAAGCTCGGGCTCCATCGACGGGTACGGCATGTTCCGTCAACAATCGTCCGGTGCGGCGGTCGCGTCGTCTGCTGCGGTAACAGCGGAAACGATCTCGAATAGTGTGGAGGATAACGTCTCTTCGATCTACGACCAGCGCAAAAATGAGATCCAGTCGCTCAAGCTCATGCAGCAGTATGTGTCGATTGCGTCGATGCAGATGCGCAGCAAGTTGGAGATGGCCAAGACGGAGCAAGCTGCGCGTATGCAAGGTCCGGCCAAGAGCGATCGCGCGGGATCGCCGCATGGTTCAGTGTCTAATGCATCGGTGGCAGGCGGTGGCGCTGCGGGGACGAACGGCAATCCGTTCGCTCGCAAGCTTTCACGCTCGCATCTTCGTGTACTTTTCGTGCCGGATATGCGGTTTGCGTTGTCGACAGCTCAACCGCTGAAGGCCAGTAACTTTGGGTTCTCTTCGTCTGCTGCAGCAGCGGCTGGTAGCACTACATCGACGTCTGCAGCGTCGACTTCTACTGCCTTGGTGACGAGGTCTCGCTCGCACGCACCCGGCACTTCGCCGTCTCACCGTGGAGCAGCTACAAATGGGTCCACAAATGGGCCCCCCTCGTTAGAGAGCCTCTCGCTGTCACATGTGGGCAAGATGTACAGTCTTGTGGAGCCGAGCACACCCATTTCAGCCTCTCCGATCACAGTGACTGGTCCGTCGTCTGTGGTTCCTCCTGGATCGGTATCGTCTTCGCTGGACGACTCGGGACTGGGCCAAATGGACTCCAACCACTTTGCACCTACCAGTGGCGGAGTTATGGTGAGTATGCTGAACATGAACATGCGTGACATGTACGGAGGTGACGGTATGAGCAGCTTGTTGGATCCGCATCATCATCCAGTACACGCGTCGCCTGTATCGCCTCCACGACAGAGGATGATCAAGAAGGCCCACACAACGTATCACCACTATTTCGCGTTCAAAGAGTCAGCGATGGACCCGGCTCTTGGAAATCCTCGCAAGTTACTGGCGCGTCTGAATGCACTGGGTATCCCTCCGCTGCCACCGGATCTTGGTGCGTTACGACTCTCGGATGGCTCACCGTACTCTATCTACAGTCACGCTCCAAGCCCGTACTGCTTGATGAACGGCTATGGTAGCTCCGGTGGGGGCAGTGGGACGCCAGGCAGTGAACGCGGAGGCACAAGTGTCTCGAGTGTGAATTCGTCTCCAGCTCAGATTGGCAGCAGTACGTACCCTCCAAACGGGGGGAGTACGTTTACAGCAGCAATCGCAGCAGCTGCAGCGATCAACGGAGGCGTAACACCAGGTAACTTTGGAAGTTCTTCGAGTAGTAATGGCCCTGGAAGCAGCTCGGGTAGTGTCAACGGAGTCAGCAGCAGTGGTGGATACCCGAGCTCCTCGTATCGCAACTGGCAGCCACGTAAGAACGTGTTGGTGGCAGAACTGGCGGAGCACTCTGGAGCTGTTACACGTGTGAGTGCCGCTCAAGACTACAGCTTCTTGGCATCGGCTTCGAACGACGGGACAGTGAAGATCTGGTCTGTACGCTCGTTGCAGCACAGTGTGAACCAAGGGTCTCGATGCACGTATGACGGCCAGGGTGGAGTAATTACCGACATGAAGGTGCTGACGAACAGCCACTCGGTTGCCTCGGCTTCGAGTGATGGCACAGTGCACGTCTTCCGCGTGGATAAAGTGAACTCTGTGGGCGGGAACGTACAGGCCACTGGAATCAAGGAGCTGAGAGCGAACAACAGTGCTGTCATGGCAATCGATTACCTGAATAACGTCACGGAAGCGTTGTTGTTGTATGCTACTCGCGACGGCAAGATCCACGCGTGGGATCTGCGGATGCGTCGTGAAGCTTGGACGCTCAATATCTCCTCCGAGCTTGGATATGTTACGTGCATTACGCACTCTCTGGACGTGAGCTGGTTAGCTGTTGGAACGAGCCGAGGCTTTTTGTGTCTGTGGGATCTGCGCTTCTTGGTGCTGATTCGTATCTGGAGACACTCGTCTCATCGTGCGATCCACCGACTCCAGCCCTGCTTGGGGTTGCCCAACACGTTGCCGCTTGACGAGACGTCAGTGCCGCTCGTGTTTGTGGCTGCAGGTGATGGCGAAGTGGCAGTGTTCGACCTCAGTATCGGTGCCTGTCGTGCTGTATTCCGTACGCTTGAAGCGCAGGCGTCTGAGGCTGAAGCTTGCAAGTGTCCTACACTTCTCCATGTGCCGATTCCACACCGTAGTCGCAGTGTGTTGGGAAGCTTCCTAGGCATCTACGGTATCGCTACGGCCTTTGACGAGATCGCCACGTCTCCTCTGAGTGAAGAGCCGAGTGTACGTGCGATGCTATGTCCGTCTCTGCATCTGCGAGGTATTGGAGACGCGTTGATCACGGGCGGAGAAGACCGACAATTGCGCTACTGGGATATTCGCAATGGGAAGCAGTCGTACACTGTCAGTGGCAATGGAGAAGCCAAGTCGTTCTACGATAACCAAGCTCCTCCTGGTGACTGGTGGCGTATGAGCTCGTCAGCAGCTCCGCAACATTTCGATGAGATGCCAGCGGCGCCCATGTCGACTACAGCAGCTATCACCAAGCCCGAGTTGGCGTGGAGTAAGCTGAGTCCTCCTCTGATTACTGTGTGTCAGGACTCATCCTTCTACTCGTCGCCGGGAGGCGTCGCCGGTGCAGCAGCGTCAGGTGCTGGCGGTGTGGAGTCGGCTATCAGTATGGAACGACGAGGCCTCGTGCCACCGTCTCCAGCTCACACAGATTGCATCCTGGATCTGACACTTGTGGAGCTGGGGAGCAGCCAGAATCCCAGTCCCATGCTGGTTTCTAGTGGCCGTGACGCACTCATTAAGGTGTGGAAGTAAGGAGAGCAGTGAAGTGAAGGATAACCTGGACATGAATGAATTATGTTGCGCGTCTAAAGTTGCTTGAATTGACTGAGCGATTACCGCTTCTTGTTGCGCTTGTTGCCACCTTGTTGACGCTTCATCTTGAGCTTCTTGTTGAGTTTACTGACGGCTGAGCCTCCTCCATCTCCGTCCTCAGCACTGCGTTTCTTGCCTGTAACAACGCTGGCCTTCTTGCCCAGCATGGCCTTACGAGCAGCACGTGCGTCCTTGAGTTTCGACCGCTTGGACGGCAGAGCTTTGCCCTTACGCTGTTGCTGTATCCGCTGGAATAATGTCAAGTGTTGCTCCTTATCAAACTTCTTCTTCTTATGCTGAAACGCTGAGTGTTTAGGCCTCTCGGCTTCCTCTTCGTCGTCCGAAGGCTCCAGGTCGCTGCCGCTTTCGTCACTGTCGCTCTGTAGGTCGCCCACTGACGTCGTGACTGTCACCACGTCGCCGAATTTACCCTGCGTGAAGTCGTCGTTGAACGTCTGGACTTTGGTCACCGCCTTGGCACCGCCTAGCACTGGCTTGCTCTCGTCTTCGGAGACGTCGGAGTCGCTGTCGACCTTGCTTTCTTCATCCTCTTCTTCGTCCTTCTTGTCGTCGTCTAGCAAGTTAAGCACTGCCAGTTTCTCCTTCTGTTCCTCGCGTCGCTGCTTCTTGGCTTCAAGCTGTCGCTTCTTGACCTTGTACGCCTCCATGTCCAGACCGAAGCGACGTCGCTCCTGCTTGCGCTTGTGGAAACCCGTGAGATATTCCTTACGCTTCTCCGGGTCGAACGTGACCACCAATTTCGACTTTTTACGCATATTCGGGTTGGCGCCCATTCCTGTAGTACCACGGCCCAGCTTGGCCTTGCCCACAGCGCCGCGTTTGCCCTGGCGAGACGTCGCTCCATGCATTGATCGCGCCATCACGCGGTGCCAGTCAAGTTAAAATGTGTTTGACACACAAAACATTTTGAGTTGCTGTGTACGAAACACAAATTTAAATTTACTCATGATTTAGTGTACGCCACATCATATCCGTCGTGGGCTCGCTTTTTGAGCACTTCCTTTGGTCCCATACAAAAGCCAAGTGCTTCGTCGTCATGAGTGCGGACTCGTCAGCGGTGCGACCACTACCGTTCGTGCTGGTGGACGATGACGGAGGCTTCAGCGTCAACCAGGAGGCATGTGCTGTGCTGGAGAGGGTCAAGACGCGCCTCATTGTGGTGGCTGTGGCGGGTCTGTACCGTACAGGCAAGAGTTTCCTGCTCAATATGTTAGTGAAGGGCGTATCCGGGTCGCGTCAGGAGCATCCAGGCTTCGCTGTGGGCGGTACAGTTAACGCTTGTACCAAGGGTATCTGGATGTGGGGAGAACCCATCCCTCTGGACGATGATACCAGTGTATTATTCCTCGATACCGAAGGATTGGGCTCTGTAGACCGTGAACAGACCCACGACACGCGCATCTTCGCGCTGGCATTGCTACTAGCGTCCAACTTTGTGTACAACAGTCGCGGTGTGATTGACGGCAACGCAATTGAAGATCTATCGCTCGTTGTGAACCTATCCAAGCACATCCAGACGTCCTCGTCCTCTAAAGACGCAGCAGGCAACGCTGACAGACTGCACGAGTTCTTCCCGAGTTTCATGTGGGTCGTGAGAGACTTTACGCTGCAATTACTAGACAATGGCAAACCCATTTCCTCCAAACAGTATCTGGAGAGCGCTTTAAAGCCCACAGGTGGCTACAGCGACGACGCAGTCGAGAAGGACCAGATCCGAGCACTTTTAAGTGACTTCTTTCGACACCGAGACTGTGTGACGCTCGTACGCCCTGTCGATGACGAGCAGAAGCTGCGGAATCTGCCTCAAGTGCCTTATGAGGAGCTGAGAGGCGAGTTCCGGACCAGCTTCGAGAGTCTGCAAAAGAGACTTTTTGGCAAGGCTAAACCCAAGAGTATGTTCGGAACGCCACTGAATGGAGCCATGTTCGTCAACCTGGCCGGGTCGTATGTCGAGGCACTGAACAGCGGCAAAGCGCCCGTGATCTCGAGCGCCTGGAGTCGCGTCGTACAGGCGCAATGTCATGACGCACTGGAGGACGCAGTAAAGCGATACAAGACCGAATTGCATGCACGTGTGCGACGTTATGTATCACCGGAACAATACGAGGAAGATGCTGGCTTTGAAGACAAAGGAGACAAGCAGGACGATGAACTGGAAGTGGTGGACAACGGACAGGGTGGCAACGCCATGTTCGATGAGAATGGCAACCTGAGAAGTGTGGCGTTGCGTCCTGAGTTGGAAGTGCAGGATTCGTTAGATGAAGACCCGACAGCGCCGGAGAACGAGATGATTGAGATCATGGAAAAGGACGACGACGCAGAGGCTGCACGTAGTGTGGAACGAACACGCTTGCCGTGCTCGGAAGATAGACTGAAGAACGTGCATCGCTTGTGCAAGCGCTTGGCTAAGAAGAAGCTACGTGACATTGTTGATGGAGACATGGGCGCAGATGCCGATGCTGGTGGAGGTGACGACTACATGGCTCAATTCCGAGCAGCCGTGAGTGCAGAGTTTGATTCGTATCGTCAACAGAATGCAGCGGCTTCTATGGCATACTGTCGGCATGTACTGGGTGCTCTCAGTCGACCTGGGACGGAGTATCTGGCTCATCCTGAGCAACACCGACAGAAGTCAGCGATGGAGCTATTTCGTGAAACGCAGACTTTCTTACAGGACGATTTGAGTGGTGTGCATAAGGAATATTTCGCTCACGCTGTGGGTCCATCGGCTGATGCCGCATACTGCGAGTTTGTGAGCCAACGCGTGCTCTCACAGGTGATTCAACGCACGGAGAGTACGAATGCTGCACACATGACAGAAGTTCGTGCTCTGGAGAAGCAGATGAATGATCTGAGTGTTAAGGTGGCGGTGGCACAGGGACAAGCAGGTGCAATGCAGGAGCTCTCGGCTCAGCAACAGCAGAAGTGCGAGCTGGGAGTAAAGGAGGCTGAGCAGCGTTGTGCGTCTGAACTAGCAGGACTTCGCTCCACACTGGAGTTCAAGACGAACGAGCTGGAACATATATTGAATCATAACGCGACTATGAAGCGTCTGGCCGATACAGCACAACAAGGGCATTATCGAGCCACCGAATTTGCCTCCTCGGCCTTCGCCCAGATCCTGTGTGGATACCTCATCAAGCAGCACATGGCTCCTGGTGCTGGTGGATCAGCTCGCGCAAAGTGGCAGCAGCGGTACTTTGTTCTCCAAGGTCCACAACTGAGCTTCTACGACACTAAGGAGGACTATGAACGCTGTCGTTCGGACAATCCGCCGATGGACGTCACGGGTGCGATCATCGAAGACAACTACGCTGTACCCGAAGCGTTCAGCGTGTCTTTCCGTGACGACAAGTACTACCCGTTGCAGCTCCATGCCAAGTCTCGGGAGGTCAAACAGGAGTGGGTGCGTAGCTTACGAGCTGCTGCGGCTGGTCGTGCTGCGGCACAAGGAGAATCACGTAGTCTTGCGTCTTCGAGCTCGTCTATGGGATCCTCAGCGTACGGTGATATGGGGAACTCGTCTACGGCTTACCAGGGAGGGAGGGAAGGACCCCCTAGCTACGGAGAATCAGCGTCTTCGGCCTTCCAAGGTGGAGCGTATGCTTACGGGAATTCCTCCTCGAACATGTATGGCCCTACGGGTGGAGCTGGTGGCAGTCGGTACATGCAGATGTAGTCAAGTCTACGTAGAGTGACGCACGAAAGTATTTGAACGTTTAGCTTTGATTTTGATTTCCCAACCAGCAAATACAATCGTGCTTGAAACAAGAAATCGTATAGCAAGTTCCTGCTGGAAAGGTAGTCTCAATTCGGGGTTTTGGCAGTAACCGTAGTCGGACCAACGTTGCCACCGGCCTCAATCAGATTGGACACTCCGATATCCTCGAGCATCTTGATCACAGAGCCGATACCAATGCGCTTCTGAGGGTCCCAGCGGCACATGCGCTCGACGAGATTCCACTCCTTATCTTTAAAAACTGCTGGGCGATCAGGAATCTTCTTTTCAGTTTTCACAAGACGAGTTACCGCTTGGTCCGCCAGATTTCGTCCCCATGGAAAGTCGCCCGTCACTGCTTCGATGATGCACATCCCAAACGCGTAAATGTCCGAAGCGAATGTGGGCAGGTTACCTTCCAAACACTCAGGTGCTTTCCATCGTACAGCTTGCGTAGTCAGCACCCCGATAGACTTCGGTGTGGTTCCAAGAACACTCAGCCCGAAGTCTGCAATCTTTGCTGCTCCTCCCTCGCACACGAGGATGTTGTCGTTTTTGAGGTCTCCATGCACGATGTTGTGGTCGTGAAGATGCTCGATCCCTGAGCTGCCTGCAACAGACGAAACCACAGCTCACGACGTCTACCCTTTTCTGGCTGTAAGTAGTCGGTGAGGGTCTGACGTGTTGCACGCTCACAGACGAAGAACGGTTGCGGTCCTTCATAACAGGCGCCGTACAGCTTGATTAAGTTGGAATGGTTCAACGCAAACCACAAATCTGCCTCGCGGCGGAATTGATTTCGACGGTTCTCGTCGACTGCCATCGGTTTCAGTCGTTTTACAACCACGTCTGTCCCAAACCACTTGCCCAGATTCACCAAAGCAAACCCTCCACTTCCAATGTTCTCCTCCAGCTTAACTTGGTAGCTAGGAATGAACCACTTGGGAATCATACCGGAACCGCCGATCCCACGCCGCTGCGCTTCTCTTAGCACTGTATTCATCGAGTCGACAATATCTGCAGCATAAGCGCCAGCCCGAGTCTGTGCCTCAAACCGTAGCATTGCGATGTCTTCTGGTCTACTCGTATGCTGAAGAAATGTCGATGGATTCTTCAAAAGCCTCAGAAATTCTTCTCGTTGGCTGGTTCGAGCTTTATTTCACGTAGGCTGCCAGTGATGCACTGTGTCCATGCCTTGCAACTGTGGGGAATCGTGCACTAGGTGGTCAATCTGGTGGTGATAATGATAGTTTTGGCCAGCTACCGACTGTGACGCAATCTGCATTGACACACTGCTGTTCGACATGTTTTCGTCAAACTTTTTGAAGAAATCCCACGCTAGCAGACTGAAATCTTCAACCAGAACGCCATATAGTTCTCCAGCTCTTTCCATATGCGAATACACGTCTTGAAGGCGATTAAAGACCGACCGGTCCTCGGGAGTGAATTCCTCTTCATGATCTTCGGCCAGTTCGTCAAGCAGCTCAGAAATGGTCCCGTTAAAACTCTGTATGACGTAGTTCGAAATGTCGGCCACTATGTGGGATTTGTCGACATCCCTCTGAGATCCATCTCCATCCAGGAGCTTCATTTTGAAACTCACGTCCTCCAGCTTTGTTCTATCGGCGGGGTTCTCAGCACAGAGGCCTTGCAACATCTCCCATTCTTCGTCAGTAATAAAACCCGGTTGTACATCCGGTAGACGCGACGTAGTTTTGTGTTTCCACGTGTCAAATTTTTTGTCCCTCGTTTCCCCTGGTAGATTTGAGTTGCGGCCATTTAACAAGATGAAAAACACTGCAATTCCGAATCTCAAGACATCGTAGCTCTCCGCAGACTCCTGATCTTCAGTTTGGTCTTTGTTGTCCTTGTTTCCAATCACATGGAACCGACCCACACGGCTTCGTGGCACTAACCCCAGTCCATCCAACACACCTCTGCGCTCCGAGTAGCTGCAGCGAAGTGTCGTCGGTGAGACGTCATGGTACACGAGGCCGCGATCGTGCACGTACTGCAGACCAAGTGCACAGTTCCCCATGTAGCGCCACACATCCTTCTCGAACGTTGGTGGAAAGCACGACTCGTGGATAACAAAAGGCTTGCCAACGTATGACGCTCCATAGAATTTCCGTAGATGAGGGTGGTTGAGCTCCGTTCAAATGTGAGCGAGACGGACACTCACTTCCTCGCACACTTCTCCACGCACTTCATCGCTCACGTTGTCATCAGCGTCTTTCTCCCTCGCCTTGACGTCCCACCCAAGTTTGCAGTCTTCAAGTTTAGCCTTGCTCACCCAGGCCCACTCATGCTCAGACGTCACGAACCAATCTGGCAGATCACTCGACACAAGGCCAGCTTTCTGCACAGCCACGTCGTATACTAAAGATATCGTATCCAGCTCTCCTGTCGTCAGCTTGTCGCGGTACTTTTCATTCTTACCAGCGAACGGCGTGATGCCGTCGTGGTATTTTTCCACGCAATAGCGCAGCAGTGTCACAATCTCCAGTTGTTGATTCTTATCGCCCAAAGCCGCAACCAATTGGTCATTGTCCAGGGCAAATTCCTTGAAAACTTGGAGCCGTTCCTCCCGTTCGACGAGTAGCTGGCTGTGCCACTCCTCGCGCTCCGATGGGTCGAGGAAATCGAGTGTGTCCAGCGCGTTGTCGACGTATCGATGCAGTAGCGTCACCACTCGGCCCGTGTCCGCCAACTTCAAGAGGAGGTTTGATTGACTCTCGTATGAGTCCAGCGACTCCTTCAGGATGCGCGTGAAGCGGATCATGATAGCCACTTCACTCTGCTCATCACGACATACATCACGCAGCTTCCCGACGAAGTGGTCAGCCAAACGGTCAGACGTGCTGAAGTCGCCCTTGTGCTTGGAGTGCCAGCGACTGTCGTCCGAGTCCATCCAGAACTTCTTCATCGTCTTGCTCATGGTAGTGTTGGCGACCATGGTGGATCGATCCGACAAGAAGGTCACACAGCCTTACACACGCGTGGAGGTCAAAGTCGTTCGTGGCAAAAGAGGCTTTGTGGCCAGCAATAGCGCTGCCGCAGCCGCTGCGGTATCCGCCATCTTGTACTCATCGACACCTTTGCGATCATCCCTATAACAGAACAATTCTTTAATAAAGAGAGAATAGACTTGGAAGTTGAAGTTGAAGCAGCACATTCACTCTCGATTCCGCACTCGCGTGTGCACTCCAGGACTCCAAGAACGAAGGAAGCAGCATGTCGGTCCGTCGAGAGGTGGTCTCGCTCTCGCAGCTGCTGCGCCGCAATGAAAACTCGTAGGGACTTGCGTTGATGCTGTCAGTTTTGTGGCTAAGAACGTAATGATGACACAGGAGCTCACGTCGAGGAGCTGGACGCGCGCCTCCTTTGCCACTACAAACATCGCGGCGAAGAGCGGAAACACCACAACCCGGCGGTCAAAGGAGTTTGGGGGCGAGACAAGTGCAGTCTACACCATTCACAGAGAAGCCTGCAAACTCTGGGTTTCAGCCGGCGAGCTTCACGCAGCGAGTACTGGATGCTAGCCGAGCTCAGCCGGGAGACTGGAAATTAGTAGCCAGGCGAGTAGCGGGTTTCCTCCTCTTTCTCAAGAAAGGTAGTGCGCATTTTGCTTTTATTAGTGGGCCTTGGTTTCTTCCCGTAATTGAGTTTTTTTTTACTGGATGATGAACAGTGTACGCTCCCGAAAGTGACGAGTTCAGCGCCATCACGTCGATGTCGCAGTCGTCCTTCTCTCAGCCTCAGTCACAGAACTTGCTGGGATCGCAGGATGGCCAGGTGACGAGGAGCTGCGTGCATGAATGAAGCGTGTGTGCATTGACCGTGACTGTTTCATTTTGTAGCTGCATCGCGTTCAACAATGGCAAGCTGAGCGGGTACCTCCGGCTCCTAAGTCTCCTGCTCGCTGTAACGGCGAAGAAAAGTTGCTGAAGTTGGAGCAAGCTCTCACTAAGGCGTTTGTCGAGCAAACTCGCGAGCAGAAGCACCAGCAACAAAGACTGCTGGAACAGCTCACCAACCCAATAAAGAAGTCACTTGAGGACGCCCATGCAAAGCTTGCGAGTAGCTGCGAGAGCCAGCAGCAGCAAAAGGTGGCAGCTAAAGAGCTCGAAAAGGGCATTTGCGCAATGACCGAGTCAATCACCGCGCTCCGACAAAAGGTTTTTGAATTGCTTGCCCGTTCGCTCTGGCTGGAACTCACCATGCCATTTTCCAATGTACAGAGCAAATCAGCTTGCGCAAAAATCCGTACGGCTGTGGTCGACGAGACAGCAGCGGTGAAAGCCGCGCTGACGGAGCTCCATGCAAGGATTGAGACGGTTGAAGGCAGCGTTAGGTCGTACTCGGATCTCGTGACTCAAGTGCTCAAGGTGGAAGCAACCAAGCATGACACACTGCTGTCAGCTGTCGCAGCTTCATCCTGCACCTGTCCTAAAGAACTCACATCTCCTACTATTCATTCGCGCGGCGCTGATACTACTGACAGAAAGAGAAGGCGAAGCTCATGCTTTTATGAAATGGCCGACATCAATCCTGGCAGCTTCACTCCCCCTGCAGCTAGACCACCTCCACGTACAAAGACATACTCTTCACCTCGCTTTGATATCGGTACCAGACCCTGTTACGGCAGTGAAAACGACGAGTCGCGCGACGAAGAACTTCACTTCGCGCTCCGGCGTATTGAAACTCTCCGCGCTAAGCGTCGCCAACATCAGCACGATCTCTAACTGCGCTTATTCAGCGTCACCAAGCTATGACAAAGAGAACACCCGACAGCTACTCATCAACAAGGAGCAGTCAACATCTACCTTCAGACAATGGGAAGCCTGCGATTCCCGTTCGTATATATTTTCATCCTTTTTCTGGTATGTTTTTCCTTTTTAATCGATCTCTCGGCCACATATCGCTTTGATGCTCGCTTGCCGTGTGCCCATACAGCGTCTAGAACTCCGGTCGCGTCTTCACAAAAAAACACACAAATAAACACGAGTAAATAGTTAGCTTCCTCTACTTCCTTCCCTTTTTGCCATTAATTTGAGTCATGTCTTGCTCCCGATAGCCTACCGGGTAGCCAGCGCCGTGGGTGGGGTCCTGGATGAGCTTGGCGTACTCCTCGCGAATACCCTTGCAGGCCATCTTGTGGTTCACACCGTTCTCGCGGTAGCACGTGGCCAGCTCTTCACGCACAACTTTAAGCGTCTCTTGCGCCACTAGTACGCGCTTGGCGTACTCGCGCTCGGCAGCACGGATGGCCAAGATCTCGTCCTTGGAGCGGAGCTGCGCGGCGTACATATCTCGCTAAAATACTAGACCGCCGGGATCAGAGCAGCGGTAGCCTCTAAAATGGCTGAGGGGAGGGCGGTGGTCGCTGGATTTGCTCTAATGAAATCAAGAAAACCGGACGGGGTGTCACATCATGAAAAACAAAAAACAATTGTACCTTAAGTTAAGAGCAAAAAAAACTTTGCAGGTAAAAACTTTTTTGTCAACAGTAGCAGCGGAAATACATGTTTACATTCCAGTACCTTTTACATCGAGGTAGAATTATACTTATTCTAATATCTCACATTTTTAAAATTTTTAAATAGCTCTTAAAATTATTCTACATGTACAGTACTATTGTCAGGAGTTAGCAGTAAGGATATTTATCAGGAGTAACCTCAACATCAACAAATGTTGCAGTAAACACCTCAAGTTTAGTTTTAGCCAATACGTAATCAACAAAGCAAATTCGATTTTTTAAGTCAGGCGGTAGTCGCACCGGGCAAGCGGTTGAGGGCAACCAAAGGAAGTTCAGCCATAGTAAGCGCGTCGCCAAGCTCCGCATGCACTGGACAGTAGAATCGCACCGGCAAGCCCGTTATGTAGAGATAAGCTCTCTGCTTTTTGATAGTCTCGCGGCCATAGTGGACAAGCAGTAGCAGTGCCGGCTGCAACCAGCACCGCGGCCAAGAATGAAGCGGCAGTCGATGCCGAATATCTACTCGGGATTGCAGATGTACTCGGAGGCGTAGCAGAAGCCAAACCCGCGGAGGATACTGCAAGGATCTCAATGCTACTACAGCGATACTGCGTGTACATTACGAAAAATTCCATCATTAACATAATTCACGCGTACGGATATTATATATCTTTTTATTAAAGTTTTATAATTTCATTGTTCGTCTCCGATATACAGTAATATCCATCCTTGCGGAACTCCACATGCGGTATACGGGGAGGTATTGACCACATATTCACCAGCTACTATCCCTTCATCAACCGATTCTACATCGCCTGGCGTGTTCGTACAACGACGTGAGTTATGCCCGGGTACCCCGCAGGTGCTGCAAGTGTATTGCGATCTAGATTTTGTTGTGGGGCCTAAAATCGACTCTCCAATCTCAGTCAGCATATTGCTCACAGTTGAGGCCTGGTCAGGCTCTGTGGAAGGTGGAGGTCTAGTATAAGGAACCTCCCCGTTGCTAAGATATCGTTTTGCGTAGTTTTGACGATCCTTCTTAGGCTTGAGAGGACCTACAGCACGTCCGGCTTGGCGATAGTGAGGTGGGGGATGCATCGCTACATCCGAGTCCAGCTCGGACTCAATCGGCAAGAAAATTGAAACATCTTTGAAGGCCCTGTGAAATGAGGAGATCGTGTACGCGCGATGGAAAGTTCGTAGAAGCTCTTCTCTAATGCTTAAACTTCTGTTGACACATTTCTCCTTGTAGATGGCTGCAATTAAGTGCCGACATGGCATCACCTGCATCTCTCTCACTGGACAGCGAGAACACTGTTGACTTTCCAAATTTACGCGGTAGAATTGAGATCCACGGATGATGTGTGACGAAGTCTCCATTTGAGACGCGTAGTATTCCTCAGCGAGATAACTCTGCGGTGGTGATCTTATCAATTTTAGCATGGTAGACTTTCGTAGCTCTTCGTCGAACACCTTTTTGGCGTAAGGGGTCACGTCGTGTTTTGCAGTTTGCCAAGTACTAGAAATACGTCCACTGCTGTTAACAGCAATCATTACCCGAGAGCAAAAACGAATAAACGCAGCAGGAACTTGACTGCTTCGTAAACTATTCCAGAGTAGGGCATTGTTTTCACCTTCTGCACCGCTAGTCGTGCGAACGCCACACAATGGCTTTGGAGATCCGTATGAAGGGGTTTTGCTCCAATGCTTTTTAATGTAAGCAATGTCGTCTTCATCATGACTAAAGTTACCGAACCGAGACCAGCTTGTGGGATGGATCTTGCGCAGGTAGTCGTCTATATATTCCTCTTTAGCGGAGCGAGCGTGAATGGGAACAGGAAATTCTTTCCGAATCTCTCTGAGTACTGACTCGTACCCACGGCGGGAATTACAAGCTTGTAACTTAAAAACAAATGGTTGAACTCGTTTAATGTCAGGATCAATGATCTTAAAGCGATGGCAGACATCAAATACGATGTGGAGCGCACAGAACTTTAGGTGTATCTGAAGGCCAAGCTGGGATAGTAACATTTGCGCTTCTAACTGAAGGCCACGGTCTGTGAACAGCGCGACGTCGGCCAAACTCACCCCTGCCGCAATACAGTTTGATAAAAACCAGGCGAAATTCCACTTCGTTTCCTTTGGAACAAAGCCTGCTGCGATGAGCACATTTCCTTTGTTTCCATCTTTACCAATCAAAGTCAGACAAACTCCATTATACTGAGGGTGCTTCATGTGAGTTCCATCGATCTCATACACAGGCAGCAAATTGTTTAAACGAGAAATGACAGAACCGATCGCAATAAATCCTTGATAAAATCGACACTTATTGTCCATTTGGCAGCAAACTCGCGATCCAGAATTCAAAACTGCAAACTTTTTCAGGAACGCGACTAGGGTGTCATAACCAACTTGTTTTTCTGCTAGCGATGTACGAGCCAATATTTCTGCTGATATCGCACGATAGACGGTAGCCGCCTGATCGCTTAAATCGACGTGGTTTATAGCTTTCACAGACTCGACTACTCGCAGTCGAGAGGTCTCGCGTCCAGGAACAATAGCAGCCTGAAAACCACTTAGACCTCTAACTTGACTAACAGACAGCACGGGTACAGCATCACATACATCACGATGCTGTAAATGCATTCCACTAACGAACCAGGCACCTGGGGGAATTGAGCTGAGTTTCGATTTTTTCTTGTTTTGACCTCGCCGCAATCCCAATTTTACAAACCATGGGCAATCTTGACCTGTGCATTTCCAGAGTTTGGAGGATCCAGTGTACGACTCTAGAGAGATCGATTTCCTGTCGTTAAGCGCAACGTCTTTTAAAAAGAGGCCTGGGTCCTCTGCAGATTGAAAATAGTCATGCAGTGTGACATCGGTACGACCATGTCGCTCCAAAAGATTAAGCAGACACATGTAGAGATAATGAGTAGGCCTAACAAGGCGCATACCGAGCACATTAGCAGCAATACGATTTTATGATTACATATTTTCCAGCGAGCTTACCACTTGAATCCAGGGGGGGAATGGAGGATAGAACTCGTCTTTTTTTGTTTTGGCCTCAAGCCGTTTTCTTTCGTGGCGTATTTATATACATGTTCTAATTGGCTAAAACTAAACTTGAGGTGTTTACTGCAACATTTGTTGATGTTGAGGTTACTCCTGATAAATATCCTAGCAGTAATCTCGAAAATAGTAATCTTGGGAAATATTAAAACAGCTACTATTTGAGTATTACTACTACTAATACCCCTTTTTACTGTACGGTATTCACTATGAGTAATAGTACTACTCACTCGAGGCGGTACTATAGTACTTTCAGACTACTACTTTTAAAGGATCCGGAACTGAGTGGCTCTCGTCCCTCGTTGCAGGGAGATTGTCATTCTCCCATTTGAAACCAAAAGTGTCAGACTGCTTGTGAGCATAGGCTGTGCTGTAAAAGACTGCCAAGAAGACAATGGGCTTAAGACGGACCCGTGCAGCGTGTGTGGGAAGCCCACACACCACATGTGTGCTATTGGAGTTTTCGAGGGCTCTGACTCGGCGCTGAATGAGAGGTAGCGGTCTTGATTTCATCTGGATTGTATTGCTCATACCCCTACTAACACTACATTACAGATTTTGCAGTCAGACTTGTGTTAAAGTCACCCACCCAAGTGTGAACAATCCCGTCCACGCTCAATCGACGATTGGTAAGCGTCCTGCACGCTCCAGGATTGCCTCTAAAGCCCATTCAGTTAACATTTGGGATGGATCTGACTCCGACTTCGTCCTTTCGCCAGACCCACCTTCAAAGGGCGACGATTCGTCTTGAGGGCATCCGGTCAAGCGTCGTAAGACTACTACGACAGCAACTTCAACGGTTGCTAAGATGAAATTCGCTAAGGTTATTTCGCCTACCCAGCTGAAAGCTGATAGCCACCTCTCGACGTCACTAGACTGCTCTCCAGCTGGTCCATTATCCGAGCTTGGTATTCCACTTTCGGTTCGACACTCCAGAAAAGCAGGTACTACAGATGAAGTCTGGGATCTAATTCACACGTTGGATGTTCCATACAAGAAGCAGAACCCCTGGAAACCTTCCGTCGGAGTGTACCGCAATATTTGCCTACTGTGCTGCCAAGATATTAAAGGTCGTGTCAAAACAAACCGCTACTCTTGGGAAGCGGCGCTGCGCAATACCAAGAACTCCAGCAACGCGAAAGACCACAAGGCTAGGCATGGAGACCACCCGTTGGCAATACTAGCCGAGCAAGAAAAGTCAAAAGCAGATATCGCGGCCGCTGAGGCAGAGTCACAAGCGGTGTTAGATCTAACTGCGGACGCCGAAGGTGGATCTATCACTTCTACGATAGACGGTGCTGCTTCTAATGGAGGAACAGGGACAAAAATGTGGCTCAAAAGCGGTTCTTCCGGGTGAATGAGAAGACGCTGAACGTTCTCATTTCCAAGTGGCTAGTCAGTCAAGGTCTTCCGTACACAGTGTGTGCTTCAAAATCCTCTCACGACGTCATAAGTTCTGCTACTCGTAATCCCTCCTACCCGATTTTGAGCCGTGAAAGACATGACCGACTACTCAACGGCCAGTTCCAGTTGTTTTGCGACCTGGTTGGTGATTTCGTGAATGCTGAGCTCGAGAAAGCCTGTCGACTTAAGTTCTTAAACCTGATACATGACATTTGGACGAGGATAGCATCGTCGGTGCATCTCGGGTCCTGGAAAAACATGCCTGCGACGTACACTGCTTCAACTGCAGAAACGCTTCCCCAGAGTCATGAAAGAGGCGATGCTGTGCGTTTTGTTAGACCCGCGGACGAAATCG